CGGGTCAATTTCGGGTCATGGGTCGGGTCATTCGGGTCGAGTCATCGGGTCTGGGTCAGGATTGTCAGGTCTATTTATTGTCGATCACTTGAATTAAAATAATATTAAGCCTAAAACCAAATTATTAATTATCTTATTAGACATGATTTCAAGTACAAATTCTCTTTAAATCTGCAAGAAAAGGGGAGGTCAAGTAATAACAATGAATAATAAATAACAAGCAATGTAATTATTATTGACACAACAATCATCATAATCATAATAATAAATAGCAAGATCCTAGGCATGATACTGAAAATCATAAAAGCATCCTAACATGATACTAGAAATTGAAATAATATTCTAAGCATGATTTCTACAAAAGCAAGGAATAAAGATAGTAGATCTACTCACTTTGATGCCTCGTACCACTTTCTATCAAAACAATGCACACGTTAGTAACTTCAAGAAAGGAATAAATCAACAAAGTAAATAAATAAATAAGAATTGAAATATAGATTAGGGACCTAACCCTCAGAAATATCAACCTTTCACGACGAGGTTGAAGACAACTACTAGAAGGGCTTGAAGTATTCAAGACTCGCAAAGGTCGTATGGTGTGTGATGTGTTTAGGCTAAGGCTAAGAAAGAGTGAGAGAGAAGCTTATAGCTTGATGATGATTGTTGGTGAATGAAAACGGAGGAAAACAACCCTATTTATAGGGAAAAACGAGGGAAAAGATTAGAAAAGAGTCAGAATTCGACTCGGAGTAAAACAGACCGTATCGCGAAACACCACTGCGCGATATTAGTATCGCGACGCGATATAAGCATCGTCTAACGATATTTTTTGAAAGATAGGATTTGCACGGAATCCGACTTGCAATCAAATTGGGTCAATTGTATTTCCTTACGTATCCTTGTTTTAGCAGAATTAAACCTATTAAAATAAGTGTTTAATCCAAAGTAAAATTCTTAAATTTTATCTTTTCAAAAACAGGATTAATTAGAACCTTCTAGAGGATTCTAGAAGCTAATAATAAATCACAAGGGACTTAGGAATGATGTTTAAGGTTAATGGACCCTCCACATGGTCATTAGGTCGTAGGTAAGGTTTGGTTTGAGCTTAATTTAGTATTTTGGCCATAACTTCCTCGTTATAACTCGAATTTGGGCTTATATTATATCGTTGGAAAGCTCTTTTCAAACCCCATCCAACTATGCAATCATTGGACCAGTATTATGGACCAAAATAGACTAGTTTGGACGATTTTATTAAGAGGACACAAAATGAATGATTTTAAGGACACGAAATGAACTATTTTGGGTTTAAAGACACGAAATAAATAATTTTGGCTAAAAACATTTAAGGAAAGTTTAGAAATGGTCAAGGCTAAAGGGAAATTCCCGAGACTCTTCAACTCTTCACCTAACTCGATAATCAAAGACGTGAAATGTATTCATCACTGGGTTTGGTTCTTGGGGAGACACAATCAGGTGTCTACACTAACCCTAAGTATGACCCTTACTCCAACACCTACGATGAAGGATGGAAACATCGCCCCAATTTTGGTTGGAGAGGGGTCCAAAACCAAGGGCAAATTAGTGGTCAAGGGAATGTGCACTATCAAAGTCATGCTAGTGGTGGTGGTAACTATGTGTCTAATAATCAAAGAAACTATAGAAATGATAATAGGTACCAAATAAAAGGCCAATACTCTTCCACTCACAACCCACCCGGTTTTAATGGAGGTGTAAGACAAACTCTAGCTCCTATCCCTCGACCACCACTCCAAATTCAAGCTCCCCCTCCTCCTAAGTCTAATTAAGAAGCCATGATGGAGCAATTCATCAATACCCAAACTAAAAAGAGAAATGACTTAGAGAAAAGCTTAAAACAAATGTAAACCCACAACAAGATGTTAGAAAATCAAATAGCACAAATAGCTAGCGCTCTTAAGGGAAAATCTAGTAGTTCATTGCTAGTCAAGGTCTAAATCCTAGGGAGCAAGAAAATGCTATTGTAACTAGAAGTGAGAAAAGCTTGGGGGAAGTCCAAGGGACGGGTATGCAACATGACTTAGGAGGTGAGAAGTCAAAAGAAAAAATGATTGAGATGAGTGATTCCCATGGAAACTTGAGAGTTGAAAAAGAGAAAGAAAAAGAGAAAGAAGAAGAGAAAAACAAAGAGAAAGAAGTTGAAAAAGAAAAAAAAGAGAGTGAAATCCCACTACATGTGGTAAAGCTTCCTTTTCCGAGAAGGTTTTCCGGGTCTATAATTGATGAACAATTTGCTAAACTTTTAGAAGGCTTGAGAAAGCTTTATGTTAACATTCCATTCACCGATGCTATAAAACAAATGCCAACTTATGTTAAATTTCTTAAGGACATTTTGAGTAATAAAAGAGAAGTTGACTTTGTGGAAACGATTAATATGCCGAAAAATTGTAGTGCAATTATTCAAAATAAATTACCCATTAAGCTTAAATATCCCGGTAGTTTTTCTATTCCATGTGCTATTGGTGAAATGGTAATTGATTGTGCTTTGTGTGATCTAGGTGCTAGCATAAGCTTGATGCCCCTCTCTATGTGTAAAAGAGTTGGCCTAGGAGAGTTAAATCCCACTAACATTTCCCTTCAATTAGCCGATTGCTCGAGTTAAGATGCCTTTGGGAAAATTAGAGGATGTCCCCCTTAGGGTGGGCAAACTCTACATTCCAGTGAACTTTATTGTGCTTGATATGGATGAGGACTTAAATGTCACCATAATTCTAGGAAGGCCTTTCTTAGAAACGGCGGGGGCTATTATTGATGTGAAAAATGGTAAATTATCTTTGCTTGTTGGAAAAGAGAAAGTAGAATTCAAATTGCACCAAGTTATGAAATGTCCATCCAACATGGATGATTGTATGCGAATTGATGTTGTTGAAAATGTTATTAATGAGTCCATACAATAAAATTTTCATAATACTAATGATTCTCTTGAGTGTATTCTTGAAAGCAAAGATAGGTCTTGCAATGAAGACATGGAAGTGGAGGCAATTGAGGAGTTTCTTGACTCCACTCCCATGGAGAAGGAAGAAGAAAACCTAGTGATTGGAAACGAAGAAATGGAAAAGTGCTCATGAATGATAATGGTAAGGAGTGTCCAAGTGTAAAGCTAAAACCTATACCATCCAATTTGAGGTATGAGTTTCTTGGTCCATTTTCTACTTTTCCAGTCATTGTCAATACATCATTGGATGAGGTTCAAACCTCAAAATTGTTGAATGTATTGAGAATGCATCGCAAAGCTTTGGGATATAGAATTGATGATTTGAAAGGTATAAGTCCCATGCTTTGCATGCATTGAAAATCATTAAAGGATGATGCTAAGCCATCAATTGAAAGACAAAGAAAGCTTAATCCTCTAATGCTTGAAGTGGTCAAGAAAGAGGTTCTTAAACTACTTGCTGTCGGTATCATCTATCCTATTTTTAATAGTAGATGGGTGGAACCGGTGCAATTAGTCCCTAAAAAGGGGGGGGGGGATGATGGTGATTAAAAATGAAAATTGTGACTCATCCCCGCTAGAACCATAACCGGATGGAGGATGTGTATAGACTATCGTAGGCTAAACAAATACACCAAGAAAGACCACTTACCATTTCCTTTTATCGATCAAATGTTGGAAAGGCTAGCGGCTCACAAGTATTTTTGTTATCTTGTTGGTTATTCAGGGTTCTTTCAAATCCCAATTCACCCGGATGATCAAGAGAAAACAAATTTCACTTTTCCTTATGGCACTTATGCTTATCATAGGATGCCATTTGGTTTATACAATGCCCTCGCTACTTTCCAACGATGTATGATGGCAATTTGCCGACATGATTGAGAAGGAAATGGAAGTTCTTTTGATGATTGTCTCATTAATCTCACACGATGTTTGAAAAAGTGTGAAGAGGTGAACGTTGTCCTCAATTGGGAGAAATGTCATTTTATGGTTCAAGAAGGCATTGTTCTTGGCTATAAAATCTCCCATGAGGGGATTGAGGTTGATAGGGCTAAAGTGCATGTAATAGAGAAGCTCCCACCCCCTACAAATGTGAAAGGGGTGAGATCTTTTTTGGGACATGCCGGTTTCTATCGACGTTTCATCAAGGACTTCTCTAAGATAGCCAAACCTCTTACTACACATCTTCAAAAGGAGTGTGACTTTGTATTTGATGTTGCTTGTTTAGATGCATTTTGTAGGTTGAATATTGCATTGGTCTCGGCACCAATCGTGCAAGCTCTGGATTGGAGCCTCACCTTTGAGCTAATGTGTGATGCAAGTGACACGAAAGTTGGTGTCGTGTTGGGGCAAAAGAAAGAAAGGAGGGTGCACGTGATTCACTATGCAAGCAAAACTTTCACTATAACATAAACAAGCAAATGCAATGGTCTTAAGCCACGGTTAAAGAGTAGTGCAACGGTAGAGTGCAATGACCTAAGCTAATACAACAGTTATTGCAACGATTATAGATAATATAATAGTTTGTAGCAACAGTCTTGGCTAATGCAACGGTTTAAAAATTAACCATTGCAGTAGGTCTTTAATCGTTGCATTATATGATGGTAAAAGTTGATAAAATAAAATAGGAGTATTATAATTTTTGGAGTTACGTGCTAAACCCCGGCCTTTTTGTGCGCTCTTTTTTTCCCCAAATTTCAAAACCCTTATTTCTTTCAGCCTCAAAATTTTAAGTCTCTAGTACAGTACATTACCAACCTTCATTTATATTCTAGAGAATTCCCAGAAGAAGTCGACATTGGCGCTCCGGCATCCATTTAAAGATTAATTATCTGGTAATTTCAAACTCTCTTTGTGCTTCTAATTAAGTATACAGGTTTCAATTTTTCTTTAACCTTATACTTTAATTTGTTTGAAAATTTGAATACTCAATTGACCTAGAATTTTTTATTGATTGAAGTTCTTGTTATTTAAAATTATCTAAATCTTCAACCTTTTGATCTTTTTACTTATTAAATAATCTTGTTGTTTATATATATTACTTAATTATTGAGGAGAAGAACATCTGACCCAAATTATAGTAGATGATGATTCTATAAATTAGGGAATTATAGTCGAAGTAGCCTCTAAATTGAGGATTTGGTAAAGATACAAGATGTGGAATTTGTATTTTAGTAAAAATAATTGTGGGCTAGGTTTTTTGTTAGTATTGAAGATTTACGTAGGCTTCAATAATTGAGAATTTTCAAGTTGAGTTTTTTATTTCTTTATTATTATTATTTTCGATGTTTTTTTATTTTATTTTATTTTTTTTATTGATTTACGACCTCAATAGTTGAGAATTTTCAAGTTGTTGTTATATATATATATAGATGCATGTTTCTACTCTTAATCAATTCTTAATGTTTGAAATTGGGAGTGGTTAATTAAATCCATGTACTCTGACCATGACCAGGTTGTGCTCTAGATAGATAGTATCTTATCTTTTATTCTCATTTGAACAAATTGATGTTGTACTATTTTGCAAGTTTTTTTGGGAATTTGAGACTTATTTTGTTTTAGCGAAATACTTTCCTCACACATTATCAAGTTTGGTGTGCATTAAAGAGTATCTTTGTATTTGAAGTTATCAAGGACGAGAAATTTCACTCATTTTAGGGTGTATTATTATTTCAATTATCCTTATCCCTGGCCTCAGCAGGAGGCCTATGTACAATCGGACCCAGAAGAGTTGCAGTCACTAAAGAAGTCATATATTTTTTAATTATGGTGTGCAACTTATATCTTCTATTTTATTTTTATTGCCACCCTATTTTTTTTGCCTCTACAAATAGTTTAGACAAGACTTTAATCTCTAGTGGTATACGAGGGACTGTCGTTACCAACAAATTTCCATGAGCTGGTTTTTTTTATTGATTTGCGAGGAATGGAAATGGGATAATGAAAATTACGATGAGCTGTTTTTTTTTTATTTTTTTTATTGCTTCTATAATTTTATTTGACAATTTTTTTTTATTTAAGTTAGTTTTTAGGTGGAATCATTGTATGTAGTGAAATTAATAAGAAGTTGTGTTGGATTATCATCCAATACAAATCATACAATGTATTAGGCTTTATTGGGCTATATATAAGACTATTTCATTCCATATAAGTTAGAGTTGGGAATCTAATATCTCTATACTTTGTTGTGTTTCTCATCCGATACAATGTGTGTAGTTTTATCACTATTTCGGTGAACACATGGCAACTTTAAGCTCCCATAGGAAACGAAAATGGGATATTGCTCAGAATCAAAGTAAGGAGTTTATGGCTTGGTTTAAGGAGAAAGTTTCCTGCATGCTTCAATAAGGTGATGTAGTACCAGACCATGTGAAATGGTTATCAAAAGGTCCTTATGTGGAAAATAGGTACACTGGGTACTTTGTGAATGGATTTCATTTTCACACTATGAAACGTGATGCAAATTTAATATCACAGAACCACGGAGTAAATTTAAACGCTCTAACTCCTAGCTTTTCTAGTAGTAAAGATCAAACTCTTATAATGAGAAGTGTTTCTTATTATGGTTCAATTGAAGATATCATTTAGCTATCATACCATGGCCAATTTAGCGTTGTCTTATTTAAATGTGTGTGGTTTCACTCAGAAATGAATGATGATAAATTTATTTTGGTTAACAAGAATAGAACCATTGGTGGAGGAGAACCATTTATTTTAGCATCTCAGGCACGACAAGTTTTCTATGTGGAAGACTTAACCAAGAATGGTTGGTATTATGTTGTTCATAACCTTCCTACAGAACTCTCTAATGGTAGGATGTTATATGGCATGCCTTATATATTGTTGATTGACGCATTAAATTACTTTCTCAGTTGTTTCCTTTTCTTATGGCATGCTTTTTTTCCCCTATAACATACAACTTTAAATATTTTTTTAGTAAGATAATTGTTTTTCATATGTGTAGATGAAGGGGATTAAGGCTAAATCTATCCCTAAAAAAAAAGTGATAACGGATTATGAAAGGCAAAGACTAGAGCAGCTGAAGCATAACGCAAACATCATGGCAGCTTCTGGAAAAGGAACTTTGGCATCACAAATTTAAGATAAATCTTGAGCCTTTTCATATGCCCTTAATGCTATTAGCACATGGGACGATAATAACTTGTTTTCAGATGAAGATGATGATAATGATGATGAGTACATACCAAAATATGAGGGTAATAGGGATGAAATTGACTCTGGTAATGTAACAAGCAAGCGTAAGGTTAGTGTCATAAATACTTGTATGTAGATTAATTTTGAAATCCCCCACCCCCTTTTTTTAAGTTATGTAACATTGTAATTCTGTCATAAACTCCCTTAGTTTGATTTATCTATATAAACAACCTATTTTTACAGGCTATTATGAGTGGGAAATATTATGGAGGGTCAACAAAAGGCATGTCACCGCTTTCACATCTGCCACATGTCAAGGATATTGCTACAAAAAAGGCTGCTCGCAAGGTATGTTGTGTCATATTAGTTTATTCTCCCTACTAGTTTTTTTCCTTTCCTATTTTTTATATAAAATTTTATATTAGTTTTTTTTTATTCACTATTTTTATATCAAATTTGTACCCTTGGATATGCTCAAGTATGGTAAGTAATTTTAACCCTGTTCACAATGAGTTTGATTTACTCAAGTCATAGATTTCCTCCTAATTTTATTCCAATTATGACTCTTATTAAGTCGCCTTGATATTCTAATATTTTCTTATGTGCAATTAATCACAGGACTCTTCAAACAAGTCAGGCTCAATGGCTGCATTTGTTCAGAACACCACAAAACATTGTGTGGAAAACCATACTGAGCTACTTCCAGTCAATTCAATAGGCAAGTTTCAACAAAGAGATCACCAAAATGGAAACAACCCGTCAGGAAAACAAGCTCTCCATTCACAAAAGAAGCATCAACAAAAGACTTTTTGTCGTCCTAGATCATTTACTGCCTTTCGTGAGCTACTAAAAAAGCAATTAGAGAATGTGATTAAATAGAATGAAACATATAGTACTTCAAACCTTGAAGTGGCATATGAATTCCAGTTGATATCTCATAGTGCAAATGACATTGTAAATGAACAACCCAGAGATGATGGCAACATTGTAATGGAAGATATAACTGAATCGACACATGAGGACTCTCGATTGAGAATTGAAATTCCACAAGAAGGTACGACACTTTTTTTTCGATAGTGGAAAGTTTTTTGTCATTTGATTAATCTTTTTGTTACAACATTGTAGTAACTTACAACTTTTTCCTTCATAGTTCCTGCAAAAAGGAAGCACCGAGGATCAACAAAATTGGTTAAAGTTCATGCTCGTACCAGGGAGGAACGCCCTTACCTTATCTTGAATACGTATGGGCAACCAGTCGGAGCTACTGATGAAGTAGTCGATGAATTTACTCAATTTTTGGGAACTGTTGCTAAAAATTCTGAACTAGCCCTGCTTAATTATGTTAAATAACCAAGCCTTCCCACACATGATAAAATATGGGATTATGTCCAGGTTTGTCAATCGATAAAGTATTTAATTATTATCCTTTAATTAATTATTATTAATTTGTACAAGTATATACACACACACACACACACACACACACACACATATATATATATATACACATATATGTATATGCTGTTTTTTTGTGTAGGAGAAATATTTGGTGCCTGAAGAAGGAAGAAAATGGGTAATGAAAACCGTCAATTATGTTTAGCGTATCCACAAGTGTAGGACAAAACAGAAGAATTTCTATGCATTTGATACTGATAAAGAAAGAATGATAGAACGTCCAAAGACAATGCCAAAAACTCATTTTGAAGATATGTTGAAGTATTCGCATTTGACAACAACTGAGGTATTGTGTGTTTAACATATCTATTTTAGAACCAAGAAAAGTTGCACATTTTTGTGTGTTTCGAATAAATTTTTTTAGATGCATTACATACATTAAGTTAATTTTTTTATAGGAAGAAAGTTAGACCAACAAAAAGAATCGTCAAAAGGTAGAAGACATCCACACTACGGGTCCAAAATCATATGCCAGGTTATGTCATAAGCTAGTATTATATATCTGTACAAATCTTTAATTTTCACATAATATGTTTCTATTTTTTTAGCTAGTCATTTACAATTTTATTTAGCTCATAAGCACCTATCTTATAAATTCTTTGTATAGAAACAAGAGGACCCTAACAAACAAGGACCCTCCCACGCAAAGGTGTACAAAGAATCAAGGAAAAGAAATCCTAAAAAGACATACAAAACCAGCTTTGGAAAAACGAAGAATAATATAATGAGTTTAAACTACTAATCCAATTGTTTAATATCTTTATTATGTGAAAACCCAAGCTATACATACATAACCTCTATAATTATTCTTTATATATATATATGAACACTTTCTATATATAATGTAGCTTTGTTTTGTTTAATGTAAATACTAAGCAACAATTTGTAGTTGTTTGTGTATTTTTTGTGCTCAATTCATCAGCTTTTTGTCATATGATTTTTTTTCTTGGGAATTGTTATTGTATTGTTATTTTTTTCTCAATTAAGATTGAACCTTTAAATTATGTATGTAGATGTAACACCCTAGAAATTCCTTCTCTTTAAAATACCTATTTTGTTCTTTTTAAAATACGAAATAGGAAATTCTAAGACATTACCGCCACCGTAAAAACGACTAAGGCAATTATCAAATACACACAGCGGAACACTCTCTTTAAAAACCAATAAAAACAAGTCAACTTAAAAAGTCAAACCAACAAAAGTAAAGTCAAACCAAAGTCAATCTACAACCTGGAACCATTGTAGGCCCTTATCAAAACCGAAATATTATTAAAACTTTTGTGTTAGTCTCACAAGCAAAATATATGGTAATCAAAGTAATAAACATTCTTATGGAAACTAAACATGATTCGCTCTTCACTCATGCCCATCATGAATATGCTTCATCACCCGAAAGCTTTTCTTTACTTTGTCCCCACTACTCGCCATTAGAAATGGGTCGTCGCAGGGCCAAGGTAAAGACAAGGCCAAACAAACATACAAACACACAATCAGAAATGCTGAGTATATAAGCGTAAACAGTACACACTAACATGCTTTTATCCTATCAACACACAAGTTACCTTGTTGCACATGTTCACAAGCATACAACATACAACATAACTAACCAATAATGTATGGTTCGTTTATTTAATTTGATTACGCATCGAATGGGTTTCCCCCTAACCTACCCCAATAAAGGGGTACTAACATGGGAGCTAACCGTGCCAATATAAAAGAACCACTTGTTAGTGGCGGAATTCATGCGCATAATAAAATGGAATATACATCATCCTTTACTCCCAATAGAAGTTATGGTCAAATATAAAGTCGCATAACTCCCCCCATATGTTCATACTCAAGGTATATACGTCCCAAGAGTTTTGGTGCGTAATCTCTTTCACTTTACGTTGTTTACATATTTTTAGATTTAGTGATGACTCTCAAACCATAACACAATCAATCATAATAAATCGTTCAAGCAATCAAACATACCAATTTAATTCTTGAATAATTAGTGACCACATAAGTTTAATGTTGAATCCTTTTTAAACTACCTCGGTGTTAAATAACACCTTAAGTGCATAAAGCACCTCCAATCCTATCCCTCGGTGTTTAAAAAATCTTAGGTGCACTTAGGCACCAAAATATAATTTAATCCTCGTGTACATAGACACCTAAATAGCTTCTTTCCCATGCTTATATCATCAATAAAAATATATAAACCATAATAAAATTCTCTTTCAATATTCCAAACTCAATTAAACGTTTAGTTTAATTAAACATGCTCTCTATAATGCCAATAATAAAAGTGTGGTTCATAATCAACATGACAACATAATTTATTCCAATCAATAATTCACCTCAAATAATTCATACTTCACAACTCAATCACCAAAATCAATCCAATCAACAATTCCAACCAATACCTATCATGATACTACTTGGAATTAATAAAACAGAGCCTAGCATGCTTCTACACACTTAAATAATTATCGAGTACGGGAACATACCTCAATTAAGCCCTTAAAGTGGCCGATACACTACAACACTTCTCGAACCAAGTCTCCTACATAAAGGGACAATAACCCTATATTAATTACCCTAGTATACACAATTTCTAGCAACTTAAACACACTTTAAATCACTCAAATAATCTGAAAATTATTTAAAAACCCTTAATTAAACTCTTCTCTAATGGGTAATTACAAACTTTTCATAAAACACCAAAAATAGTACTTTAGGCAAAATTCCAGCATTATAGATTAATAAAAAACCCTTCAAAACTTCATCAAAACATCAATTTTATGCTTAATTAATCTATAGAATCACTAGATATATAAAAATCCCAAATCAATATATGTAAGAACCCTAAAAATCAAGTCTTTATTTTAAAAACCCTTACTTTATAACAAATTCAAAATCTAAAAATTACAACTCTTTATATAATTTGAAAATTATAGTTTGAATCAATCACAATATCTATTTTAAACCCCATTAAGTATGTTTAAAACACTAAGAATCCAAACTAGTATCAAATTATACTATATAGGTTGAACACTTAACAAGAGAGGAGAGAGACAAAGTTACGGTGAGACTAGCAGTAAGCCAGCGACCTGCTGACCAGCGACGGAGGCAGCACTTCCACTTGGTGGTGGTTGACGCTCCGGCTGGTGGTCGGCGCCACGAGGGACAAGCAGCAGCAGCCATGCGCATGTGGTCTCACCCTCACAAAATTTCACGGGAAGCATGAGGGAAAAGAAAGAAAGAAAAGAAAAAGAAAAGAAAGGAAAAGGGAAGAAGTTTACCTCTTTGATTTTAACGTGGCAAATTTTTTGGGAATAAAAGAGTATTTATAGTATAGAGTAGAATAGGGTAAACTTTGGGCTTATAAAACTTATTGACTTGAGTAAGGAAATAGTTATCCCAAATATATAAGTAAGGTTATCGGGCTAATTAAATGAACATGGGCTATAATTAAATAGCGTATGTAAATTGTTATACATACAACCCTTTAAATTCAAACTATTATAATTCATTTGACCTAAAATATATTTATAATTAAATAAATAATTTTAAAATACATTACAAATATGGGGTATTATAGTAGATAACAAATATCTTAGTTGCTTACTATTATGACTTTTATATTCCATATATAATTGTTAAAATTATGCATTTTGAATTTGTAGTTTGTTGAAGAAAATTTGGATTAGAGAAGGATGCATGGATTATAACTTTTTGGTGGTAGATGATCACGTATAAAGTCATATGTGTAGTGACAGCTTTTGTGGCTGTAAATATTATTGTGATCACAATCAAACATCTCTTTTGGTAAATGTTTTTGTGATCAAACTAATGTAAATTGTGACATGCTTTTATCTTTTAGCTAGCTAGTTGATAAGTACAACAAAGTACTTCATCATTTTGTATTTTGCCAAACAATTGGGCGACGATTATATATATATATATATATATATATATATATATATATATATATATATATATATATATATATATATATATATATATATAGATAGATAAGATCGAGATTGATGATTTATGGTTGTTATTATTAATTTTCACTATTATTTATTATTTTATACGTATATAGGAACTTTAAAATTAAATATAGATATGGAAGGTTGACTACTATATATTGATTTACCTATATAATAAAACCGTTGCATTAGTACATGACAATGATTGCTAAATCTAATGCAACAGTTCAAGTAAAGGCCAAGGAATGTTGCATAAGGAACATACAAGTGTTTCTTTAGATATAATGCAACGGGTCATGGAGTATAGCAACCACTGTTGCATTAGATCATATTCACTATTGCATTAGACCCTAATGCAACGATCAATGGAAGATGTTATAAGACTGTTGCATTAGCTCAAATAATTGTTGCATTATATCTAGTGCAATGGCCGCAACAGCAACAGTTTATCAACAGTTGCAATAGGTCTAAATCAACAGTTTTTTGCCCTATGGCAACAATTATTAGGGGTTGCATTAGCTCGTTTATGTAGTAGTGTTTGAATGAGGCACAAAAAATATATACCACTACCAAAAAGGAGCTTCTTGCGGTGATCTATGCATTTGACAAGTTCCGTTCTTACCTCCTGGGTTCAAAGACCATTGTCTACACCGACCATTCGACAATCAAGTACCTCATGTCCAAGAAACATTCAAAGCCTAGATTTATGAGATGGGCGCTTGCTTTACAAGATTTTGATATTGAGGTGAAAGATAATAAGGGGTGGAAAAATTCAGTAGCAGACCATTTGTCAAGGTTACCGATCCAAGATGAGGGCATTGATCAACTTCCGATCAATGATGAACTAAAAGATGATGTTTTGTATGCCATCCAGCAAAGTCATTGCCTTGGTATGCAGACATAGTGAACTACTTATCTTGTGAAGCAATTCCGCCGGAGTTCACCCTTCAACAACAAAGGAAATTAAAGCATGATTCGAAGATGTACATATGGGATGATCCCATTTTGTATAAAATAGGGGTGGATGATCTTTTGAGAAGGTGTGTTCCCGACGATGAAATTCAAAGTGTGCTGCATATGTGCCATTCATCACAATGTGGTGGCCTTGTGGGAACAAATAAAACGGCGGCAAAAGTATTACAATGTTTGCTATTTTGGCCTACTCTCTTCAAAGATGCATGGGTCTTCGTGAAAACTTGTGACAAGTTCCAAAGAACCGGGAACATATCAAGGAGGAATGAGATGCCTCAAAATCCGATCTTGGAATTGGAGGTGTTCGGTGTTTGGGGGATCGACTTCATGGGTCCTTTTCCTTCATCTTATGGTAATCTCTATATCCTTGTAGAGGTGGATTATGTGTCGAAATAGGTAGAAGCTCTTGCATCACCAAATAATGACTCAAAGGTGGTGATTAACATGTTTAATAAGATCATATTCCCAAGATTCGGAGTTCCACGGGCTGTGATAAGTAATGGAGGGTCTCATTTTACTCATAGAACATTCAAGGCCTTATTGGCCAAGTATGGAGTTCACCATAAGGTTGGTTTGTCTTACCATCCTCAAACAAGCGGCCAAATGGAGGTCTCTAATAGAGAAATCAAGCTCATTCTTGAGAAAACCGTGGCTAGAAGCAAGAAGGATTGGTCGGCAAAGCTAGATGATGCCTTGTGGACATACCGTACGGCTTTTAAGACTCCCATTGGAACCACTCCTTACAAGTTGGTTTATGGGAAGTCTTGTCATTTGCCCGTAGAGTTGGAGTACAAGGCTCAATTGGCAATTAAGGCCTTAAATTTTGATCTCAAGAGTGTCGGAGAAAAGAGAATATTAGACTTACATGAGCTAGAAGAATTGAGAATGAATGCGTATATCAGTGCAAGCTCCTACAAGGCATGATCAAAGGAAGGGGACAAGG